AAGGAGGTGGAGACAAGCAGGTACATCTGGAAGTTCTAGGACATTTAATGAAAATACTTTTCTTAAGTTACTGAAATGTAAAGGTATTAAACATAAAGTGACTAAAACTACGTATTTAAATGTATGCATACATTTAGGGAAAGATAGAGAGTTTGAAAGTGGGAGACAGTGTAATTTTAGAGCCTACTTAGTGTCAGAGATTCTTTGGAAATTATATTACTTAATCCTTATAACAATCAATGAGTTATCCTTTATTTCCTTTATTTTACAAGGAATGGAGTCTCAGAGTAATTCATTCAAAATCCGTTTTTCTTTTGAGACAGGGTCTCATTCTGTCATCCAGGCTAGAGTGCCATGGTGTCATCATCGCTCACAGCAACCTCAAACTCCTGGGCTCACGTGATCCTCCTGCCTCAGCCTCCCAAACTGTTGGGACTACAGGTGTGAGCCACAGAGCCTAGCCTCCCTTGGATTTTAAATTGCTAAGAGCAGGGGCCAGACGTCCATCTTCTTTGGGAACCTCCAGGCCCACTCTCTGCCTTGCTCTGTGGCTTGGGGTGCTGACAGTTGAGGGCTCCATCAGTAGGCTCCCTTCCTCTGAACTCCACTTGGGCTCGCCCGCAGAAGGCAGTGTGCAGGATTGCAGGGAGGGCCAGGGCCTCCTCCTGCTGGGCTGTGCGTTGGGGTTGAGCAGCCACCCTGCCTCTTCAGGTGCTCGAGCCCAGGGCACTTCTCTGCTCTTGGTTTCCCTAGCTGAGCCCACACCTCCATAAATAGCTTCTTTATGAAACTCTCCTCAAGTTGCCCAGTTTGGCCATACATCTGCGAACGTTTAAGTCCCCGATATGAAATGGAGTAGTATTTGCATATAATCACATCCTAAATATCTCTAGATTACTTATAATACCTAATACGATGTAAATGCTGTGTAAATAGTTGTTATATTGTGCTGTTTTTAAATTTGTATTATTTTTATTGCTGTATTGTTATTTTTTATTGTGTTTTTTTCCCCCAGGCTATTTAAGTGAAGCAGTGGGAGTGGAGAAGGAACAAAGGAATCTGTAACTGGTTGTGATCAATTAGTTATAAATACCATTGCACTTGGACCAGACTTTTATTGGTTTTTCCCCCCAAATATTTTAGATCCCCAGTTGGTTGAATCCACGGATATGAAACCTGCGGACACTGAGGGCTGACCCTACTTTATACTCCTCATAGTAGGCATTCAATAAAGCCTTGTTTAATTCAATTAAATGAAGTGGTGTGACTATTCTGATATTTTCATTCAAAGATTGCTTATGTAATGGTGACCAATTGTCTCCGTTTGGGTCTGAGGTTACCAGGACTCTGGGCTTATTTAGTTTTAAGATTGGGACAGTCCTGGGTAAACCAGGATGAGTTGGTCACCATAGCACATGGTTTGTTTTTTTTTAATTGTTAATTGGTGTTTAAAGAACGTATGTCTATGATCATTTACATTGGGATTGAAATCTCTATTTACATTGGGATTGAAATACAGTTTATTTTATTATAAATATGTTTATTAAATGTCAATATTCTTATTTTTCAATGAATTAAATTTGGTTTTTTGGAGACAGAGTCCGCTCTGTAGCCCCAGCTAGAGTGTAGTGGCATCATCATAGCTCACAGCAACCTCAAACTCCTAGGCTTTGAGTGATCCTCCTGTCTCAGCCTCCTAAGTAGCTGGGACTACAGGCATGCACCAACTAATTTTTCTATTTTTAGTAGAGATAGGGTTTCACTCTTGCTTAGGCTGGTCTCGAACTCCTGGCTTCAAATGATCCTCCCGCCTTGACCTCCCAGAGTGCTAGGATTACAGGTGTGAGCCACCGTGCCTGGTCCTAAATGACAATATTAACACTGTCATACTTCTTTTGTAAATAGGCAACCTAGGAGAAGGAAATTTCACTGGGTTGGAACTCTACCATGATCTGAATGCTTTTCAATTCAAGATATTATTTTCCAGTAGGAGAGCTTTTGACTATTCACTCCAGGAAGCCAGAATTTCAAATGTTTATCCCTTTACCCCTGCCATTTAATATCAACTTTCTTGATCTACTTATGCTCCCCAAATCATTTTCTCTTCTAAGAGTTGGACAAGTTATTTAAAACAAATTAGTAGTGTTGATTGTGGTTAAGTTAGAATTTAATAACTCACCTCAGGTACCTCAAGATAGCTCCCTTTGGTATTATCTTCACATTTTCCATGGACAAAGAAAATATTATTCATGGAAATGGGTGTTGTTAATAATATTTTCCAAATATAAGATGCTATAAAGAATGTATGAAAGATATTGACCCAAGTGTATTAAATTTAGTTCATTTTAACAAACATTTATTGAATGCCTCCTAGGTATAAGAGGATAGAAGAAAATCAGATTTCACATTGGGATTGTGCTAATCCAAACATCAAACTATCGGAAAGAAAATAATCAGGAGTCATTCATTTTGGTTATGTTTTAAGAGTTACATTATGTATATTCATAGATACTTTTAGACTGTATTTTCAAGACTATATTCTTTTGTTTTGTAACCTTGTGAAACTTATAAGAATTGGACTCAATGTTTACAAGTAACACATTTTTTTCTTCAAAGAAATGTGAGGACATGAAGTAAGGTCCCAGCGTCCCCCCGCGAACTCTCGCCAGCGTTTGTGGCTGGGCCACATGTGTGCTCTGCAAGGTTGGTTTGTGATGTTTCTGGTGGATAATGCAGTAGAGGTTAAGCTTAATGGACTTAGTAATAATGATTATTGGGTCATAATCCTGAGCTGCTATAACCATTGAAATGGACTGCAGAAAGAACACGGAAGCTAAGGATCGTGACTTTGTTGGACGCAGTAGGGAGAATTTGGTCCAAACCTGAGTTTTCTTTGGTAGCAGAGAAAACTTTCTTTCTGTATATTGGCAATAGAAGGTATTTTGGGGAAAGTGGCAAGAGATCTTAGAAATGAAAATTCTGGTGACTATTGCAGTGAAGAGATTGTGTTCATAAGAGATAAAGATCTCACATCTCAGATGGGTGGATTATCTGATCTGAACTCAGGATAATGAATCCTGGCTAATGGTCTATGTTCAAGTTTATCAATCAAGGATCACCCCCACAATAGTTCTTTTGTCTTTGTTGTCCTCATTACAGTTTCATTCCTTTGGCTCTAGAAGTCATTTTATTCTTCATGAAAATAGGTCATAACTTTAAAAGCGGTGAAAATTGAATATTCTGTTGATCAAAATGATTAGCTAATAGGCAGCTCAGGCCTTGCAAGAATGGAGATTAAGACAGACGTATCCCTGGGAAAGAGGTCTGACATGATGGGTGAGAAGTGCTTAAAGGGGGGTGAGATGAGGTCACAGTTTCAACCACTTGATATTAAGTTTTTTCCTAGGTACAATATGTGTTAATACAGTTAAACACACCTTCTGACCCTGTAATTTCACTTTTACAAATTTGTAGTGAGGAAAAACACCCAGATACATGCATAATGGTGCACATACAAGGAGGTTTATCACAGATTATCTAAAAGTAGTATAAAAGTGGAAATCATCTGAATTTCTACCAATAAGAAGTTGGAATACTCTGTAGGAATCCAAAATGATGATGTCAATGTATATGTCAAAAAACACCATGATATATTATTTAAGGAGAAAGAAAATAATACCAATAGTTACATATAACATCATCTAATTTTTGTTTGTAAAAAATGCAAGTAAAAAATAGAATGTGCAAACATTAATTTGCATGAATTAAATAGAAGAGTTTAATAGTATAAACTATATTATCTCTGGGTAATGATAATATGGATTTTTAAAGAAGACTTTTGTTTTATACTTTTAAGATTTAGAAACAACTATACAGATATTACCTTAAAAATGAGAAAGGCAATGAAAATAGTCAAAAACTCTTTCCTTTTAAAAGCTGAAATGCAACTCTGCCTAAGTAGAAGTCCCTTACAGTGGGTCCCGAAGGCCTCAGCTGCAGCAGGAAGTCTCTTTGCTGAGAAGTCAAGTACCCCGGTGCACTGAGCTCTGGAAACTCTAGTGGTGAAAGCATCCCAGTAGGCCAGACAGGGGAGTGAGCTGAGCACAACTTCTTTCAAATGTGACTTTGCACTCCTTGCCTCCCACACTCATCCTTTTCTTCTTGATTTCTGTCCCAGGTCCTCACCGCCTGCTCATTCTTGCACTTGAGTGCCCCATTGACTTTAAACTCATCGTTTCTAGAACTGACCTTGACCTCCACCAAGTCTTTTCCAATGGGATATCATTTTTCCCTCATTTGACGTTCCAAAGCTCTGTGTCCCTCTCTTGGGGGCACCTATCTCATGCTACCTGCATTATATTGATTTGAGCACTTGTCTTATTCTGGTTGCAGAACGAAAGCTCCTTGAGACAGTGTGTTTGTCTTACTCATTGTTATACACCCTGAAGCACCTCGCTCTGTGCCTTTCTGATGGGAGCCACCCTAAAAACGTGCACAGCAAATAAATGAATGGACAGATGACTTTCACTTTTACATTCTATCTGGACTTGTCAAGAATCCAGGCATCCCTTAGTGCAGATAAGGCAAAAGGAATTAGTGTTGCCTTCCTGATACTCGTAACCCCGGGGTAGGATGTGCTGTCCTTTGACTTGGAGGAAGTGGAAAATGAAAGCCAGCCAACTATTTCTTAGGTCATTAAAAACTGTTAAAGAAAGCAATAGGAGACACAAAAGTAACCACTGTAATAAAATGAAAGCTCTGTCTACAAAAAATTAATTTAGAGAAGCCAGATGGGAGAAGATTTAGGAAGTAGAAAAAGAAGAGAGCTTACAAGAGAAAAGGCGTTGTCAGAACAGCTATAGTATTGTGGCTGTGGCATACCAGCGTGTGTTGAAAGATTTCTGAATACATAACAGTAAAATCATTATTTAAAGTAAAGAACGTCCCTCTAGAAATTCTACTGTCCTGTCAGAACCAGTTCAGCTGCCAGAAGGTCTTACCATTTCTTCGCGTCAGGAATACCCGCAGGCAGGGCTCTCTGTGTTGCTGCTCTCCCCGCAGGCTGGCCCGTGCCCGCCTGGAATGCCATAAAAGTCTTCTGGGGTCTCTGTATTCTCTGATTACCACCTGCAATTACAATCCAGACGAGAGGAATTTACTCCAGTAAACAGAGAGAGCGAAGGCTCACGGCGCTTAACGACGCTGCCCAGGTCTATATAGAATTTGAGAGAAAGCCAGCGTGTTGTGCGTGTGCAGAGGAAGCAATGAACACCATTAAGCCATGCATCAAAAGGAGCAGTGCATTTAAAATGATAAAGAATAAAAAACAAGGTTTAAAGTTGTCAAACTCGCTCTTCTTCACCACAATGCATGTCAATATCTTGGTTACCTGCAATTTATAATGATGTATTACAATGTACTAAAGAGCAAGTAAGCCAAGTGGCCCGGTATTTATCGTGGTGGTGGAAGGCTATCATTGCAGTCATGAAAATGTGGCTGTGTCACACCTTAAGGACCATTTCAATTCCTCCTTCTCTAACGGCCTGGGGGACACAAAGATGACAAGGAGGTGCTCAGTGTCCTCAAGTGGTCTGTAGTCTGGTAGGAAGACAAACACATAACCAAGGTCTTTACAAAAGGTTAAGAAATGAGGAAGAAGTGATGAAGTGCTCGGAGACCAAGCCGAGGTGGCAGGGGGCCAGCACAAAGGCACAGGGGTGTGAGAAAGCATGATGTGCGTTCAGAGTGCCAGGTGGTTTGGCGTGCCTGTGCAGAGGTGGTGCTGGAAAATCTACAGCTTTTGGAATTTGTTTTGGATAAATAAAAAAATTTGACTGGGTATGGTGGCTCATGCCTGTAATCCTAGCACTCTGGGAAGATGAAGTGGGAGGATTGCTTGAGGCCAGGAGTTTGAGACCAGCAGAGCAAGAGTGAGACCCTGTCTCCACAAAAAATTAAAAATCTATCCAGGTGTGGTAGTGTGTGCCTGTAGTCCCAGCTGCTCGGGAGGCTGAGGCAGGAGGATCGCTTGAGCCCAGGAGTTTGAGGTTGCTGTGAGCTATGATGATGCTTCTGTACTCTAGCCAGAGTGACAGAGTGAGACCCCATCTCAACAAAACAAAACAAAACAAAACAAAACAAAACAAACAAAACAATAAAGGTCATTTCTCTTTGCTTTTAAGACACAAAAGTGAAAGATGCCACTTATCTTTCAAACTATTTTAACTCATGTCATACACAGCTAAGCAGGACCCTAACTCAGATGGTACGTCAACATTGCCGTTGTCAATACAGTGGGGTGACTGAGGTCTCTCTACACTGGTGAGAAGGATCACAGATTTCTGTGGCAGTCGGCACCCCAGGTTGGCTGGAAAACACGTGACGTGACCCAGAAGGGCTGGCTTCATCCTCCAACTTATCCGTGCCATATGAATGGCAGCTGGTTTCCAACATCACAGTTTAATTTGGTATAAAATGTACTTTTCCTGGAATCTGCCTTTAAGGCAGGGAATGCTCAGAGAAGCTGCCAGCCCGGCAGCAGGTGCTTCGATCAAGGGCTGACCAGCAGCAATGCCTCAGAGGGGCTGGGTGGCCTTTGGCAACCCGAACCATAATTATATTTATTGAGAGCTTATTATATACCAAACAGTGCCCTGAGCATTGCACATGGATTCTCTAATGTAAACTTCACAACACCCCTGTGAGCAATATTCTATAAAAATTATTTTATATATGAAACATTGCAGTTTACAGAAGTGATGTTAACTTCTTCAGATTAATTAAGTGGTAGAGCTAGGATTAGAACCCAGGCACTCTGACGGTCTCTCTTATCCTCCTTACTCTGTCAAAATCTGATTTCTGAAACGGAGTTAGAGGCATACGGATGCTAGGTATAATACCCAGTGAGAGGCAGAATGGGGTTAGGGACAGGACTGTCCAGTCAGGATGGTGAAACCAACATGGGCTTGAGAACTGGCTCCAGGCCTCTCGAGTGGCCAGACTAGCCACCTGCCTCTCCAACCTTCAGTGTTCGCATCTGTAAGGTGCCGGTGACAGCCGCACACACGGCATAGGTTGTCCTCAGCATGACATGAAATGACACATACAAAACCCCTGGTACATGGTGTCCTCTGCATAAATGTTAGCTGTTACTACCATCCACAGTTCTGTGTGATACTCCAATGCCGGGATATTGTGATTTACCAACCAAATATTATTATGTTTAAGCAAAAAAAAAAAAAAAAAAGGATCTAATGGTAGAATTCTTAGGGCTCTGAACTCAGTTTTTAATTACTTGAGTAATACTGGAATGCCTACTCAGTGGCATGAAGTTCAAACAGTACAGACAGAGTCAGGTTGGCCTTCGTCACCCCATGGGGGAGTCTGACTCCTGGTCCGTCCTGTGGGCGGCCTGGCAGAGGGCAGTGTGGCCGTCTTCCCACATCTGGAAGTTACCCGCGCAGCCCGTGCCTAGGGGCCGGCCTTTCCTCTAGCCGTGTGGCTCGGGATTCTCTGGCCGCTCCAGTCGAGACCAAGGCTGGGAGTCCTCGGTGGGAGGAACGGGGCGACGGCCAGGGCCATTCTCCAGGGGCCGTTTCACTCAAGCCCGTCTCACGGACACGGGAATGACGAGCCTCGTCCACGGCGCCAAGGCCACTTGGCAGACTGCAGAGCGAGGCCGGAAAGAAGGCCGGCTCCGGGGCCTGGGCGCCTGCGGCAAGCGGCCTGCCAGTGCGCTCGCGGCCTCTCCGTCTCCGGCGGCCCGCGCCTCTGCCCTGTCCAGCCGCGCTCAGTGTCCCGGCGCGCAGGGGCTGCAGGTGCGCGTGGGGGAGGAAACGCGAGGGCCGGGTGCGGACGCGAGGCACCCACGTGCCAGCGGTGCCGGGGAGCGGCTGCGGCCACTTTGGTCTGCCCAGCGTCTTGCCGTCGCTGCCACTGTGCCTTCCCGGGGGCCAGGGAGCCACGGGCTCCTGCCGTCTCCACGGCGCCGCGGGAAGGGGAGTCCCGCTGCTGGGGCGCGGCGTGCTCCGTCCTCCCCGCGCCGCGGGCCTGGGCGCGCCTGCGGGCCTCGCTACCCCGCGCCTCCCGGGCCGGCCTCCGCTCCACACGGCCTCGCACCGCGCTGGCGGGGTGGGCTCTGCTCTGACCGGGCGCCCCGTGCCCTTTGCTGCTGCGCCCGCGCTGCCCGCTGCGGCCCGAAGCCTCTCCCGACCTCCGGTGGAGACGCGCAGGTCCTCCTTCCGACCCCGACACGCGCGCGTCCGCGGTGACAGGCGCGAGGCGGTCCCCGCACCGACACAGGGCTCGGCTTTTCAGGGCAAGAGTTTCAGAAGGGCTCCGGCGTCCGGTGCCCTGAGCGCTGTGGTCCGCGCTGCTCTCTGGCGGTGCCGCCAGACGCCCACGGCGTGGCCTCGCGCCAGCAGGGCGCGGCCCCAAGGCTGAGTGCCACAGGAGAGGAGGCCTCCTGCCCTCCTGCCCTCCTGCCCTCCTGCCCTCCTGCGGGGCTCTGGGGACAGGAAGGCAGGCAGCCGGGACGCAGCAGCCCGACAGCAAGAGCTGCTACAGCGGCAGCAGATTTGAGTCATCAGCATCAGAAAGTCGCTGCGGTCAGTCACTCAGCCTTTCTGTGTCATCAGTTCCTCATCTGCTGTGTGACCTCCAGTGAGTTACTTAACCTTTCTGTGTCATCAGTTCCTCATCTGCAGCAGGAGAGCGTTGAGGGAAAGGGCCCTGCTGGAGAAAGACTCACTCAGCACAGTGTCTCCTGTCCGCGTGCCAGGAGGGCAGAGGAGGGCGCGAATCTTCAGCTGTGGTCCCTGAGAATCACCAAGAATTTGTGACCTCAGGGTGACAAGTGAACAGACTGACAGCGGTGATAAGTCCCATGTGTGGGATTTTGTGCTGACTCGAAGTACTTGTTTTTCTTTTATAGTATATATTTAAAATGTATATAACACCATGTTTTAACACATAGTGAAGTGAGTACTACAGCCAAGCAAATTAACATATCTATCATTTCTCTTCTGACATAGTTAGCCTCCTTTTTTGTGGCAAGAGCACCTGAAATGTACTCTCTTAGCAAATTTCCAGCATACAGTGCAGTATTATTAACTATAGTCCTCGTGTTTATTTCAACCACAGGAGTTTAGAGAGGGAGGTCTGGGAAGCTTGGGGAGGGTGAAACTTGGGAGGGGCCCGGAAGCATAGTTAGAGTGTGAGTAGGAGGTGGGGGAAGGGAATCGTCCAGGGGGGAGGAGCGAAGAGTAAAGACCCGTCTCTGGGGCCAGGAGACCCTGGGGCCAGGAGACCCTGGGGCCGAGGAGACCCTGGGGCCGAGGAGACCCTGGGGCCGAGGAGACCCTGGGGCCGAGGAGACCCTGGGGCCGAGGAGACCCTGGGGCCGAGGAGCCTGTTGGAAGAACTAGCAGAATAGTTGGATGGGCCCATCACACGAGGTCTTGAAAGCCACTGGACTCCTTCCTCTCCTGCTCTCTTCTTCCCTTCCTTTGTTCCTTCCTTCTTCCCTCCATCTCTCTCCCCCTCTCCTTCTTCCTTCCTTCCATTTGAGGTTTAGCGATAAAATTGATCAAATTAAAAGGGACCAAATAGGCACAGATGCTCAATCCTGGTGTCACATGGGAAAATTACGGATGCCTGACTCCTCCAGAAATTTGGATTTAATTGGTCTGGGCGGGGGTTCTGAGTACAGTCCCTTCCTCCCTTTCTTCCTTCCTTCCTCTCTCTTTTTCTTTCTGCAGCTATTTTAGTGTGAGGTGATAAAGGCCTGAAATAAAATAATAGCAATTAACATGGAAAAGAAATTAACATAAAGAGATATTTTGCTAAAAGTTAATATTATTTTTTTTAGAGATAGCTAGGGTCTTACTCTGCTGCCCAGGCTGGAGTACAGTGGCTATTCACAGGTGTGATCATAGCTCACTGCAGCCTTCAACTCCTGGGCTCAAGTGATCCTCCTGCCTCAGCTTCCCAAGTAGCTGGGACTATAGGTATGCACCAAAACACCTGGCTAACTTTTGAATTTTTTGTAGAGATGGGGGAGGGGCGTCTCCCTATGTTGCCCAGGCTGGTCTTGAACTCCTGGCTTCAAGCTGTCCTCCTGTCTTGGCCTCCCAAAGTACAGGGATTATAGGCGTGAGCCACCATGCCTGGCTAAAGAGACATTTTTAAAGGGAAAAAAATGCCAGCTATCTTGACTAATGAAACATAGCTTGATTAAAGAGAGATTCTACTCATTTCTTTAAAATATTGGTTGAGTACTTACCTTATGCCTTATACCTAATCAAGCTATGGGAAATCCAGGGGGTGAGACCCTTGCCCTGCCTTTAAGAAGCCAATATCTAATGGAGACAACAAAGACAATAACTGCAATGTGAGGAACATGTAGACACTGGCTTAAGGGTAATTTTTTTTAAGGTGTGGAGGGTAGGGAGACCGAGGCTCCCTGTCGAGGGACTAAAGGACGCCTCCACAGAGCCCCAGTTAGCTGCAGGTGGGAGCGTGGAGAGGTTTTGGTAGGTGGGGGCGGCGAGGGGCCCTCAGGTGCAGTGGGGCTGGCTCAGTGCAGCGTGGCGCCGTCTACACAGGGTGAGACACAGCCTGACCCTGAGGGGCAGGTAGGTGGAAGGCTCGGTGCGTTACTTTCCATCACTTTCCAGGCTAGAATTTTCTTTCTAGCCTAGAAGTCAGATGTTTAAAATGTTAACTTAAAAAGATTGACATTTTGTTTTTTTGACCTTATAGTGATTATGTGGGTGTTCACTTTTTAAGTATTTCTTTGAACATACATATAAACTTTATAAACTTTCTGCATGTGTCATATTTCACAGCTTAAAAATGTTTAAAGAACAGTAGAAAATTGACATAATTGTCATAAACATACAGGTACCTAACAATACAATCTTGAAATACATTAAATAAATAAATAGGGAAAAATACATGAATTAACAATTACAGTTGGAAATGTTTTAATATGCATCTCTAAGAAATAAAAATAGTATGAATATGAATGAGCTGAAAATACAATTAAAAATATGTACACCCCAAATAAACAGAAAACAGATATTCTTTTTGAATATACCTAGAACATTTACAATAGGCCACATATTAGGCCATAAAGGAAGCTTCAGTAAACTCTAAAGAGTCAATCTGTTCAGACATTGTTTTCCAACTACAGTGCCATTTTGAAGATAACATTTATAAAAATATGGTTAAAATAAAGTCCTACTTGTTTAGAAGCTAGATACACATTATCAAATAACGCTCAGTTTAAAAAATAGTCAGAGTAAAACACTACATGATAGAATTTATAGGCAAATTTATAGCTTTGAATACACCAGTGAGCAAGGAAGGTCAGAAACAAACACGCTGCCGTGATGAGTTGCTACCTCGCACCCATCGGGAGAGCTGCCATCAAAGAGCCAGAAAATAAGTGTTTGGAGGATCAGCTTAACATTTAAAAAAATTTTTGCTGTTTTTGTTTTCTGTTTTAGAAACAGCATCTCACTATGTTGCACAGGCTGAATTTGGACTCCTGGGCTCAAGTAACCCTCCTGCCTCAGCCTCTTGAGTAGCTGGGACTACAGGAGTGCCACTGTGCCCAGCTTAACTTTTTAATTAAGGTATTATTTGCATACAGTAAAATGCACCCATTTTAGAAGTTTTATTTTTTAAGGTCCTGAATGGCCAAAGTAAGGGGCTTTGATAGCTCAGGTCATGTGAGAGAATAAGAATGTAGCAGACTTGGCATTGAATTACAGTTCTGTCATTTGCTCACTACGGGATCTTGGACAAATGGCTTCAGTCTCAGGGCCTTACTTTCTCACCTCCAGTGGTGACGGGATACAACCCCTGGGGGACGCGGAAGGGGTCTGTAAAATATTGTATGCAAAATGCTTACAGGGACACAAAAGGTAGGCGTTCACTTTCCATTTTACTTAGGAGAGTCATCAGGGGTAGGACCATAGTCTCCGCATACTTGAAAAGAACCCCTGTAGGGCTGGCTTTGCAGGCCGTGGGCATGGGCGGTGGGGGCCATGCCGGCTGCAGGGGGGGGGGAATGCCGCTGGAGCTTATGCTGGGACTGTTATCCTGCAGTGGCACATGGGGCCCCAGCAGGGGTGGGGGTGGGCTGGGGAGCAGGTGGAGGATCTGATCTGGGGGTGACTGTGACAAGCCTGGTTTTAATCAATGTTCATTTATTCGTCGATAGGCAAACATTGAGTTAGGCCTGCTTTGAGTGAGGTCCTGTATTTTAGTACGGAGATAAATGTGGCTTCACTTCCCTGGCTCGACTCTTTAGGCGCTACACTTGGAAGGCTTTCTGTGGCCCTGTCCCCCTGTCCTCTGCCTGACTCAGCGCTGGCGCTGCCCCATCTGACTTCATGGGACAAATCCCTTTATTAAAAGGATTTGTTCTATAAAATTTGGATTCAGTTAGAAGGCTGAACTAAGGAACGAGAAGGCCAGATGTGGCCCAAGGCCGCAGGTTCCCACCCCTGCAAGGGTTTCCCGTTGACTCTGGGGTGCAGAGCTCTTGGCCACAGCATTCCATTGGGGTGATGGCTGGGGGGATGGTTTGTTGGGTTTTGTCTTTCCTTGTGGACCCTACAGCGAGGGACTGGGACCACTCCTAGTCTAGATCTTGTTCTTAGAACAAACTTCCAGACCCAGGTTCTGATTCTCCTCATTCTCCTAACTTTACAAACTCCCACAAAGAGCAGGAATGAACATGAAACATGGAACCCTTTGACTGCGTGACCACGCAGCTGTAACGACCACCAGAAGGGGCTGCACGGATTCTTGCTAATCTTCCTTGGATCCTCAATTTCTTGGGGCAAACATCCCACCTCAGGGACTTATGCTGGCTAACTATCATGTCACTGCGGGAGGGTGTTTGTTGTCAGACCTTGAAAGAGGGAACAAAATATCCCTAGCTAGCAGGCCAACAGGGGCTTTATAATAATATCTTGTTTTGTTCTCAGTAGGCCTGCACAGCTCTGTTTTGCCTTGATTGTAGGTACATGGTCTCAAGAGAGCCACGGCAGAGGGAATTAAACTAGGCATGGAGGTCAGAGAGGGCAGAGGTTGCCGCGGTCCTGTGTCTCGGTAATTAGGGGAGGAGCGGCCAGGTCAGAGGCTGGAGACCGCGGGGTGGCCGAGCGTGTTCTGCCGTGTGAGCAGAGGCTGGAGCACGCGGGGGCTCACGCCTAACTAGCACTGCTGGGAGTGAGAGGAAAGGAATGGATAAAGGCCTTGCAGTTGGCATGGCTTCATCTTTATTCTAAGATCAGTAGGATGGTGTTGAAACATTTTTACGGTAGAGAGATAAAATAAGTCATATTTTCATTTTGAACATCACATGTACAGAAGATTAGAGAAGGGCTAGAATACGTTAGGGAGCAGTTCAGGGGGGAGACGATGGTGGCTTGGTCTGTGTGATGCACAGAGATGGAAATGAACCAAATGCAGAGAGCTTGGGAAGCTGACTGGATGGTCTTCTTGGTGATGGAATGGGAATGATGGTGTGGATCAGTGCGAGTTATTAAGGTTGACTCCTAGGATTCTGGCGGGGGTGCTGAATAAATGGGGGGGGCGCCATCTATTGCATTAGGGAAACTTGGAGAGAACCAGCCCTGAGGAGAAGAGGATGAGTGCAATCTTGGACATTTGGAGTTCGAGATGGCTTTTTTTTTTTTTTTTTTGAGACAGAGTCTTGCTTTGTTGTCTAGGCTAGAGTGAGTGCGGTGGCATCAGCCTCGCTCACAGCAACCTCAAACTCCTGGGCCCGAGCAATCCTCCTGCCTCAGCCTCCCGAGTAGCTGGGACTACAGGCATGCGCCACCATGCCCGGCTAATTTTTTATATATATATATCAGTTGGCCAATTAATTTCTTTCTATTTATAGTAGAGACAGGGTCTCGCTCTTGCTCAGGCTGGTTTTGAACTCCTGACCTTGAGCAATCCGCCCACCTCGGCCTCCCAGAGAGCTAGGATTACAGGCGTGAGCCACCTCGCCCGGCCCGAGGTGGCTTTGAGACATCTCAGTGGAGACATGTCGGATATCTATTTTACCCTAGATAATCCTAGATATGAACCTCATGTTTGGAAGAGCGATCAGGGCTTTGTGAGTCACCATCTGCCTATAGAAGATTTTGGATTTCTACCTTTCTTCTATTCCCAAATTTAATTAGTTGCAAAATCCAGAATTTTCTCCTTTTGAAATATCTCTTACATCTTTCCCCCTACTTCTTTTAAAATTCTGATTCAAGCTGTTATTATACAAAACACCTGGCAGTTGGTGCCTAAATTTTATCTTCCAACTCTGGGCTCCATCCTGAACACTACCCAAGTTAAACGTGGCTTTCACATTCTGTTCCTTCCACACAAGGGTGACTTTGGTGATTAACCACTGGTCTTCGGTAAAAATCTGAACATCTTAGTTTAGAATTCAAGGCCTTCTACAGTCTGCCCCTATCTGCTGTGCCATTCTTTGCTCCTCTATAATAGTAGTTTTACAACTCTTAAAGCTACAGAACCCTTTGTTCAAGTGGCATCTTTTGTTCAAAAACATGGCAGACCCATCAATGAAGCACATGGAAGTGAAGCTTTGGTTAAGCCAGGGGTGGGTTCCTGGGTTGATTTCCTCTCCCCTTCCATTTCTTCTTTTCCATTCCTACCTGCTCAGTTCCCTGAGACGAGTCTCCTCACAATGTTGTTCGAAACCCATCGCCTTCTGGGAATGCTCTTCGGTAGGAATGGGTGTTCCCCTCAAGGAAGCAGTGGGGGCACTAAACCCAAGTCTGCTTCCCTCCACTGAGCCTCTCATCTGCCTCTGCCCCGTCTTCCCTCATCAGGCAGGGCCCTTGCCTCACAAAAGGGCTCCTCTGTGATGTAATGTCCGCTGGCCCAGCCCCACCTCTGCAGGTGTGGACCATATGGCTTCTCACAGCCTCCTGTGAGCAGCCAAGGGCGTCACAAGTCACAGCCCAGTGAGACAGTTAGCAGGGGCACTGTCTGGCGTGGACAAGCATTCCCTCAATCTGATAGTGGTTTCACACCTAGGGATGAGGCTCTGGAGCCTGTGTTTACAATAATCCTCGAGTTCCGAACCGGTAAAATGAGGACTAGGAAACAGGTAGGATGGAGATTTTAGGTTGAGTCCAGGGTTGCTGGGCGGATGGTATTTTCAGTGAGGATGATACGCATTGTGTTCTGTGTGGACATTATGTTATAATTTACAATAGATTTTCTTATGTGAAGGAACGGAAGGGTTAGAAGTGCAGAAGAAGTAGGTTTTCAGGGAATCGTCTTGCTTTCAATTTCGAGCAGATGGAGTTGAAAACACCTGTTGGCCTGATTTCCAGCAGGTGGTTGGAAATTTGAGTCTGCGACTCAAGAATGAAGGGAGAGCTAGGCTGGCATCGGTTGGAAAGTCATCCATAGAAAGGAGGTAGTTGAAGGCATGAACGGGGTGAGGTTTTAGGGAAGGAGGAGAGTGAGTCTTGAGAAATGCCTACGTGTGGTCTCCAGGGAAGGGAGTAGAGGGAGTAGAGGGAGGTGGGGGTTGGCCAGAAAGGAGACAGAGCTTCAGTGCAGGCTGGCTGTGCAGGCAGGGGCAGCTTCCAGGAGGAGGGAGTGGGTGGGCGGCCCATGGGGGCGTGTTATTAAACTGTAGTTCCTGGTGGGGATAAGGGGTGAGAAGAGGCCAGGACTGTGGAATTCAGGATTACCTCGTAATTTTCCTTGGGTTTGGTATGCAGGGCATGGGCGGAGAACTGGTTTCCATGGGCGTAAGGACCGAGTGGGGGGTGGGATGTCTCCTCTCCCCTCCCTGGATACCACAGAGATCACTTGAATTTGAAAAGCCTCCTAACCACATTCTTACTCTTGCTTTAAAAGGAAAATATTATTTTTAAAGGAATCCAATTATCCAACAGATTGACTAAACCCAGAAATACTGATTATTGTGATTCTGAACGTTGGGGTCTTTCAAAGGTGAAATTTAACTCCATTTGTGGGGAAGCAAATGTGCCTTGAAGAAGAGATTCTTCAACCTTTTAAACCCTTACGTGCAATTGAGTTTTAGAACCTGTCATTGCTCAATTCCCGTGAGGAATTTACTTCTGAACCTTTTACTAAGTATCTTCAGAGCACCATCTCCTTTGGTGTATGCTGCCAGCAAGAGGGGAGGGGGCTCCAGGGAGCTCGGAATCTGGTTAGTCGTCCTTAACAACCTAGCAAGGCTTCAAACAGTGGATTCAGAGCGAGAAGGTTCTGTGACAGGAATGTGAAATAGGTCTGTTTAGGAGTCAATGCCATTTTCTTTTTCTTTCGTTCTTTCTTTTTTTTTTTTTTTTTTTAAGACAGAGTCTCACTCTGTTGCCTGGGTAGAATGCTGCGGCATCAGCCCAGCTCACAGCAACCTCAAACTCCTGGGCTCAAGCGATCCTCCTGCCTCAGCCTCCCGAGTAGCTGGGACTATAGGCATGGGCCACCATGCCCGGCTAATTTTTTCTATATATTTTTAGTTGGCCAATTAATTTCTTTCTAGTTTTAGTAGAGAGGAGGTCTCACTCTTGCTCAGGCTGGTCTCGAATTCCTGGCCTTCAGCGATCCTCCCACCTCGGCCTCCCAGAGTGCTAGGATTATAGGCGAGAGCCACCACGCCCGACCTTCAATGCCATTTTCTAACTAATGATATCGTAGCTTGGTCTCTTTTTCTGCTTTCTTTACTAAGCACATATATCTATACTGAGAACCCTTTTTCTAGGACAAATTCTATTTTTACGTTGAAATATTGTGTATATGTATGTGTCAATAAATATTTGTTGAATTGAACAATTGTTGATTGTATTATTTAGCACTTTTATGATTTTTTTTGTATCCTTATGCTTCATTTTAAATTTTGTCTCTTATGCAAGGTTTCAAATAATTATGAAATATTCCAAATAGAATAGGTAAAATGAAGAGTACAATTAGCACACATAGATTTAATAATTTTTAACATTTTGTCATATTTGCTTCATATGTAAACATTATGCATATATGCACAGATATACTTTTTTCCTAAACCACTTAAAACTTGAGTTATATACATCAAGAAGTCTCACCTTTAAATACTTCAGCATATACCTCTAAAAATGACACTCCATAAACCACAATAATATCACATCTAACTACACAACGATAATACTCCAGTATATGTCAAAATTTCCTAAATTGTCCCCAAGATGTCTTGTATATCTGGGTTGTTCCAAACAGAATTGAGTCGAGGGCATTTCTCTTCTTCTAAAACAGTCATTCGGGCCCCTCCCTCCCTCCCTCCCAACTGTACTGACTTGCTGAGGTGATGGGCGGTTCTCTCAACAGTGTTGCACGTTCTGGGTTTGTCAGATGGGGGCTGGCAGTAGCGCCGGGCTTGCCCTCTGCCTTCCGCATTTCCGTGTCTGAGAGTCAGAAAGAACCAAAGGGTTAATTAGACTGCACTCAGAGCTGTTTGGTGAGAAGCTGCACAAGGGATGCTGGGCCCTGCATGCTTCGTCTGTCCCAGGCAGTGTCCTGCTACTGGGGACACTGGGCTTAGTCACTGGTTTAAGGTGGTGACAGCCAGGACCCTCCCTTGTAAAGCTGCATTTTCATTTTGGGACTGGAGAGTAATCTGTGGGATGATCCTTAGCTACTGAGTGAACATCTAGTTCACCCTCATCAACTGTTGTTTAGGCTCTTAGCATCCATTGACGATTTTTGCCTGGATCAATTATTTCATGAGAAGATTAAAAGTGGTGATTTTCTGATTTTATCATTCCTTCGATATAGATCAGCTAGCAGTTACCCATACATACAAGATAAATCATTATTTCCTTCCGTTTAATTGCAATTTTCAGAACCAGAAGCTGAGGGAATAGTCATTCTCTTTTGGTGTGTCATTTTGGACTCACAGATTTAAAAAATGTATTTGATGTGTTTCACTCAATTATGGTCATTATACTTTTTTATGTAAAAATTTCCCAAATGTGTCTAGTGGGATCTTCTTCAAGCTAGCATCTGGGTCCTTCCTTTTGTTAATGTTGTTAATTTTAATTTTGTTGTAATTAATGTTGTTAATTTTTGAGACTTTTCTTAGTTTCTGCCACAAGATGTCCCAGACTCATCTACGGTCCTTGACTCAATCCTGGATTAGCAGTTCTTCAAGGAGTTTGGGGTCCTTCCAGTGGAAAAATGGTATTTAGTTGCCAAAACCTGTATTTTATGGGTGCTCATGGCTGCTGGGTTTTCATATGGCAAAACTTAGGCCCTTTCAGTGGGCAGAGTGAGGAAATATATATCTGAAAGATTATGAGTTTATATGATATTTTTAAATTTTAGAATTCAACATTGCTGTTTTCTGAATCTCATCCTGGTTATTCCTGATGTGTCCCAACCCTTACCTTCCTAAAATGTTATTCAATATTCTGATTTCTAATACTCTTTCATGGAGTTTGCAATATACATAAAGTGCTATGACATAACATTTGTGGTTTTCAGTGCTTTTGCTTAATCTTGTTTGTGACATCCATTGACATTGTTGCATTTAGTGAGTTTATTCATTTTCTTTGATTCATAGAATTTTTTTGCATGAATATACCACAATTTATTTAGCCATTCTACTGTTAATTAATATCTTGGTTCCAATTTAGGGCTACTATAAAAATTGATGGCCGGGGCGCAGTGGCTCACGCCTGTAATCCTAGCTCTTTGGGAGGCTGAGACGGGCGGATTGCTCAAGGTCAGGAGTTCGAAACCAGCCTGAGCAAGAGCGAGACCTCGTCTCTACTATAAATAGAAAGAAATTAATTGGCCAACTAATATATATATATAGAAAAAATTAGCCGGGCATGGTGGCGCATGCCTGTAGTCCCAGCTACTCGGGAGGCTGAGGCAGGAGGATCGCTTGAGCCCAGGAGTTTGAGGTTGCTGTGAGCTAGGCTGACGCCACGGTACTCACTCTAGCCTGGGCAACAAGTGAGACTCTGTCTCAAAAAAAAAAAAAATTGATGGAATGAACAACATTGTGTGTATCTTTATTTATATGTAGGCAATTAGTTGAATATATTTTTAGGACTGGAACATATAGCTCATAAGGAATGTTTTTAGTAAGTTTGCCAAATGTTTTTTTTACATTACACCCCTCCCAGCCTTGAATAAATTTAATTTAGTCTGCATCTTTTCAGCGTGCACACACACACACACACACACACACACACACACACACACAGAGGCACGTGCACACATACACACACCAAAACAACTTGCATTGTTTTTTAACCTTCAGATTTAACATTGCATTATTTTATACAACTTCTTCTATCTTATCCTCATATCTCTTTTCTCTCTATCCTGTTATTGTAGTTCCTAATATTACCATAATTAGTTGTTTGCATTATTTGCATTATCCTGTATATGTGTGTGTATATATATATATAGCTTTAAAATAACATGCCAATCCTTTTACTGGCAATAGAATCATTGAATAAAATTTAAAATTTCTCTGTAGAAGTACATCACCAAGCAAAGTCAAAGTATTGGTTTCAAAGTCCCTTCAAGTAATTTTTTCCTTTGTGTGGTTGTTTCCAATATGGCTATTTTATTTATTTTAGTTTGTTTTCAATTCCAGGCCTTGCTTTATTTTTTCTTAAGGACTTACATTTATTATGTATGTAAAAATATTTGCATGGTTCAAAAGTTAAAACTATATAAAAAGGTATACATAGAGAAGTTTGTTTCCAATCCCTTCCTTTCAATTCTGCCCCTCTCCCATGGGTAATCATTTTTATTAGTTTCTAATTTATTCTTTTAATGTTCCTTTTT